AATGGTAAAATATCTCACTGCTACTTTTAAACATTATAATAATGCTTGAAATGATAATATTTTAAGAATATGAGGCAAGGTTAAAAAAATAATTTCACTTGATTCTTTTTGCTAAAAATTTCAATTACAAACGACTTCTCGTTATATTTGGATTGTGCCAGAACGTTGTCCCTCGCACCTTTGTCTTCTTGCTAATAGCAGCAACTTCATCTGGGAGGCTTGGGAAATGCAGTCACAGGCCCGACCCCGGACTTCCGGGATCAGAATCTACTGTGATTTGCATTAAAGTTCCTTTCGCAGAGCATTCCTAATACCACGATCGCCAGATGGAGCAAATCATAACGGGGTTCTGGAAACCTCCTCACGTGGTGAAGCACTGTTCAAGCATTAGTCTGCTGGCGGGCAGCCTGGAGGTTCAAACCCACCAGGAGCTCCTCAGGGTAAAGCCCTGGAGTCCTGCTTCCGTGAACGGTCCAGATGACTGCTGACAAAACCCGGTGGGGCAGTTGTACTCACCACGCGGGGTCGCAGTGAATCAGAATCGACTCAGGGGTTCCCAACAGGAACGACCAATAAGTGCCGGAACCACTCTCGCACCTGTGTAGTCACATGGCCGAACCTTCTCGCTGTTATCAGCAGTCACGACTCACCAGTTCGCCGTCCACCGGGGCTCAGATGGACACTTAGATGCGTCCCAGAGCTTTGTACTTGCCGATTCACCTGAAAAAGCGTATGATAATGTGTGTGCTGTTTTATAGATTTTGCAGGGAAATTTAATAACTTTCTGAAAAGTAGTATGAGATTCTTATTGAGTTAAATGGCAGTATCAAAATCCTGCAATTTTCTGAAAATAGCTTAAGTGGCAGAGAGCGTTTCCTCGGAAAATCTCCCTAATCATCCTTCAGTGAGCTGAGTCATCCAACACCTCAAGCACCCTCGTCTGTTGGGCGGTATTATAAGCTCTATACTTTTCTGCTCGGAGCAGGCCCCTCCCGAAGCCCTCCCCCCATAGAGAGGGCAGCCTGAGATAGGTGTCTTTTAATTGGTCGAATATGCTGTCTGTCACATGGCATGAAAGGTACGGCCTCGCTCTGTATCCACTTATGAATTAACAGATGTGCTTAGGTTGAAGAAACTGATTTATTTCTTGATGGGAAGAAAAATCTTGTTTAGCTTTTCAGTTGTTTTCTTGTGCGTTGGATTTTCACTCACTTTGGACCAGATACTCGCCAGGAAGAATGTAAGGTGAGGAATGACATACCTTCTAATGCAACCTATCTGTGAGCTTCAAGTGTAAGATGAGGCAGTTCGGTAATTTCTTTATATTGCTCTGTAGCTATAGTCAAAATGAGTAGTCTAGGTTAGATCATTTGACAAGCTACTCAAATCATTGAACTTGAGTTTATAAACAAGACACAAAAATATAATCTTTATTATCAGATGAAAAAGTTATTCATTCAAAATACCTAAGAAGCATTTGTGTGCTCTAGCAAAATGTCTATCTATTAGAAAATGATTCCTCAAGTCAGTGTTTAGGTTTTTGGGCTTTTTTATGCTTCCAAGTAAGTATATGCCAATTTCAGTTTCTCCTGCCATCATTGTGTAGGAAAAGAGTAAGGAAAAAATAAAAAACAAACACTTAGAAATAGATAACCTGCCCCCCTGTCCCCACAGGGCATGAAATCATTGTAACTTGTAAGAGACAACAATTATACGGAGTAAACGCGATTTAAAATTAGCAAGCAAAAATATCTCTTTATACTTGCATTTATTGTGTGTGCTTTGGCTTCTTTTTTTAATTCTGCCTAAGGGAGCTTGAACAGATTTATCTATAAATAAGAATATTTACTATCTGGAATAGCAATGAATATATGTCCTGTCTCCCAAGAAACAAAATGTGTCATCCGAACAGATTAATCAGGGAATTTAGTGAGAACACAGCGGCCAGCAGGTGACCAGCTGACCCGCGTCCTGCTGGATCCATTAAATCACAGTGGAGAGAGGCTAGACGTACAGGTGCTTTCCCCTCTCATTTTCAAATCGATTAGTGCTCTCCATTCAGCTCTCTTTAAAACAGTGAGCGACTTATACTCAGTGGTTAAAGATTAGCAATATTTTCTTTCCTGGTTTAGATGGTTTATAGAGTTCATGGATGGTTTATGCAGACATAGCTGATTGGTGGGCGAATTGCACTGTTAAAATGGACACCATGAAGTATCAAAATGCGAATTCTGTTTTTGATGCGTTTAGGTCATCTTAGCTTTAGAAGAGACTTACAAATCACATTTAAAAAAATAGTCATTTAAATCTAATAGATGGTGCATGGACTCATGAGGAACCTGGAAGAAAACCATTGCTGTTTTGTGATTGTTCTTTCAAATCATAGATGTGAATTTTAACATCTTTCAACTCTGTAGGGGCAGCTTGTGTTTCTTGAATCTCCAGGCAGGATGATTGTATTGTAAGTTTGATGTCTGTGCTTTGTGAGCTTAGAGGGAGTCAGCCTTACCACTCATCCATTACATGGACCTGCATCAGATTGAGTTGATGCTTAAACCAAAAGGAAATCCCTTCTCTTTCAGACAGCATCCTTCATGGTTTACTGCTCTGCACACCCTTCTCAGAGTTTGTCCATTAATCTGTTAGTTCATTCACTCATGCAGTATGTGTTTTTAATGGCTTGGCACTTGTACATAGCTAGGTGCTGTGCTAGGTGCTGGTCTACTTGAATGAACACAACCAGTCATAGCCCTGGCCCTGTGGATCTTTAAGTCTAATGTGGTAGATGTTCATTAATCATAGGTATATGAAGGGGTTCAAAAGAGTCCATGGAAAATGGAATTAAAAGATAAGGGAATTTTCCATACATTTGTTGAAATCCCCTTGTTTATCATTAGATTACAAGTCAACTTTGAAAAGTGTTGTGGGGGAAAACAAGATAGGAGGCTGTAAGCACGTATATTGGGAGGTCAGAACCGATCTGAGAAGGTAGGGATGGTGTTCTTGAGGAAGTGATGTTTGAGTTGTGATCAGAAGGCAGATGGGATTTAACTAGAGAGCAGTGTAGAGAGAAGGTTAGAGAACACCCTTCAAAGGAGCAGCATGTGCAAAAGACTCTTAGCAGGAAAGAATGGAACACGGGGCACTCAGGGACAGAAGGCTGAAATGGGAGCCCTGGTGGCATAGTGGTCACCCACTGGGCAGCTAGCCAGAAGGTCAGCAGTTAGAAACCATGAGCCACTCAGGGGAGAAAGAGGAGGCTTTCTACACCTGTCAAGTTCCAGTTTCAGAAACTCACAGGGGCAGTTCTACTCTTTCGTCTAGGGTCACTATGAGTCAGAATCAAGTCAATGGCAGTGAGTTTGGTTTTGGGCGAATATAGCTGGAACAGAGAGGAGGTAACACGGGGCAGACACAGTTGTCGGGATGAGGTTTGTAGGGCCCATTGGGCACGCCGTGGTGCTTGAGTAATAGAATTCTCACCGTCCTTGCTGGAGATCCATGTTTAATTCTGGCCAATATTCTCCAAGTGCATCACTCCTTTGTAATTGGAGCTGGCACCTTGCTATGATATTGCAGAGGTCTCTTTATTTCTTATTCTTTTTTAAAAAAATCTGTCATATTTTATTGGGTACACACACTCTTGGGGTTATTGTTGTTGTGAAGCCCAACCAGTCAGTTCTGATTCACAGAGACGTATGGCCCAGTCCTGTGCTGTCTCACAATTGTTCTTATGTCTGAGCCCATCAGTAAAGCCACACTGGCAATCCATCCTGTCGAGGGCCTCCCCCCTTTCCGCTGCCTTTCTACTTTACCAAGTATGATGTCATTCTCCAGGGACTGTCCCAAGGACATCTAAGGAGGATTCTGGCCGTACTTCTTCCAAGACAGATTTGTTTGTTCTTTTGGCAGCCCATGGTACTTTCAACATTCTTCACCAGCACCATAATTCAAACAGATTGAGTCTTCTGTCTTCTTTATTTAGTGTCCAACTTTCAAAGGAATACGAGGTTCTCAGGGTGGGAAAGGGCTATACGTCCAGGAGGGAAGAGGAAAGGGGAAAGAGCAGATTGGACCAGGACTGTAGGCAGTGCCCTCTGCCCTGGCTTCCTCAGTGTTGCTTCCAGAGCTGCCCCTGTTCAAGCTTCTCATAAGAGAGGCAGTAGCTGAAACCATGTAAGCATCCAACACCATGGAAATCCCTGTGATGTGCCTCTATGTCCCTTGACGCACCCTATGTCACGTGCCCATTACTTGTTGTAATGCCTATTGTAAGCTCTCTGAAAGGCAGTGTCTTTTAGGCTGAAGTCCCTATTTGACATTCGGTGATAGGACTAATGCCATCATTGAGTCCTGAACAGGTTTGAATGGAGCTTCCAGACTAAGAGGGGGTAGGACAAAAGGCTTTGTAATCTACTTTAGAACACTCATGAATGCAAACCCTGGGTGACAAAGGTCTGATCTGCAGCCAAGGATGGAGATGATACATGACCAACTCTCATTGTCATTGAGTGGATACAGACTCACAGGGAACCCTACAGGATAATAGAACTGCCCCTATGGGGCAGTTTCGGAGACTAACTCTTTATGGGAATAGAAAGTCTCATTTTTCTTCTGCAGAGCAGCTGGTGGTTTCAAACTGCTGACCTTGTGATGATCAGTCTAACACCTAATCCTCTACATCACCAGGGCTCCTACCTGACCGATGTCCAAGGGGTCATCCCTATGGTTTGGGGACTAACTCCTGAGTAGCTAACAAGAAAAACAACAGTCATGATGGAAATGTGCTCTTTGTCCTGCTTTTGGAAACCAATGACTAGGACCAGGAGAGACCTCGATGAAGGCTAACTTGTTAAACTCGTGATGGAAAGCCTTTTAAATAATAATAATAATAATAATAATAATAAAAACACAGCGCCAGCTTTTACAAGCCAAAGCTTCTTGATTCCTTTTCAGGTATCTTACAGAAGATAACTCCCTTTTAGTAGAAAGTGATATGAATTCTTTGAAGACAAAGTAGGTTTAATATTTCAGCCAGTGGTTTTAAAGTTTCTTCACAGGGATGATTTTCATACAGCTAATTTGTTTAGTTCCTGCTTTAGTGGAGAGGCTACATAATCATGGGAAGATGCTTGTGTACTTGTCTTTGGCTGGTATTATGCTGTTTTAATGATACTGGGAGCCATCCAGGCAGATTGGACTCTTTGAGACCCTTTGTACAAGACAATAAAACAACCTCTGTCTCTGCACCATCTTAATTATCATTTGTAGGTTTGAGCCCATTGTCGGAGCCACTTACGTCAATCCAACTCATTGAGGACCTTCCACTTTTTTGCTGAACCATTACTTTACCAAGCATGATGTCTTTTTTCCAGAGCTGGTCTCTCCTGATAACATGTGCAAAGTATATGAAATGAAATCTCACTATCCTTGCTTCTAAGGAACACTTTGGTGTGCTTCTTGTAAGACCTGTTTGTTCTTTGGCAGTACTTTCAGTGTTCTTTACCAACATCCTAATTCAAATGCATCGATTCTTCTTTGACCTTCCTTATCCATTGTCCATATTCCCCATGAAAATGGGGCAAATGAGAAGACCATGGCCTGGGTCAGATCCACCTTAATCCTCAAAAAGACATCTTTACTCTTTAACACTCTAGAGAGGTCTTGTGCAGCAGATTTGCCCAAGGAAATACCCTGTTTCATTTATTGACTGTTACATTCATGAACATTAATTGTGGATCTCCTCGGTAAAAGGAAATCTTTGACAACTTAAATTTTTGCTTATCAGGTTGCTATTTATTGGTCCACTTGTGAAGATTTTTGTTTTCTTTAAATAGAGTTGTAATCTATACTGGAGACTGTAATCCTTGACCTTCATTACTAAGTGCTTCAGATCCTTTTGTCTTTCAGCAAGCAAGCTTATGTCAAATGCATATCATAGGTAGTTAATGAGTCTTCTTTTATTTCTGATGCCTTGTTCTTCTTATAGCCAGCGTCTCAAATGATTTGTTCAGCAAACTGATTGAATAAGTATGATGAAAGGATACAACCCTAATGTACATCTACCCTGACTTTAATGCATGCAGCAGTCCCTTGTTCTGCCCGAATGACTGCCTCTTGCTCTACATACAGGTTTCACATAAGCACAATTCATGCTGGGGAATTCTCATTCTTCTCAATGTTACCCATAGTTTGCTATGGTCGACCTGGTTGAATACCTTTGCATAATCAATAAAACACAAGGA